AGACTGAATGATAAACCAAGTGTTCACTGTTGTCCAGGACAGAGCAATAAGAATGATCATGGGTTTAGAAAGCATGACCTTGGAAGATGGGGCCAGACATATTGCACCTGACGGTGCTGAGGGAGTTGGCCAATGTGATTGCAGAGCTGCTGACCATTATCTTTGAAAACTCATGATGGCTGGGAGAGGTCCTGGATGATTGAAAAAGGGCAAATATAGTGCCCATCTTTAAGAAAGGGAAGAAGGAGGATACACAGAACTACAGATTGGTCAGCCTCACCCCAGTCCTTGGAAAAATCATGAAGCAGATCCTCAGGGAATCCATTTCTAAACACTTGGAGGAAAAAGTAATTAGGAACAGTCAGCATGGATTCAACAAGGGCAAGTCATGCCTGACCAACCTGATTGCCTTCTATGATGAGGTGACTGGCTCTGTGGATGTAGACATGATATACTTAGACTTTAGCAAGGATTTTGAAATGGTCTCCCACAACATTCTCACAAGCAAGTTAAGGAAGTATGGGTTGGATGAATGGACTGTAAGATGGATAAGAAACTGGCTAGATTGTCAGGCTTGGAGGGTAGTAATCAATGGCTCTATGTCTAGTTGGCAGCTGGTCTCAAGTGCAGTGCTTCAGGGGTTGGTTTTGTTCAACATCTTCATCGATGACCTGGAAGATGAGATGGAGAGCATCCTCAGCAAGTCTGCAGATGACACCCAGCTGGGGGTGGGGCGGGGTAGCAGATATGCTGGAGGGTAGGGCTAGGACTCAGACCTGGACAAATTGGAGGATTGGACCAAAAGAAATCTCATGAGGTTCAATAAGGACAAGCACAAAGTCCTGCACTTAGGACAGAACAATCCCATGCACCAGTACAGGCTGGGGACCGAAAAAGGGAAAAATCTCTTGTGATTCTACTGTAATATGAACTATCTGCTCAATATCTTTCACTTTAATTGCCCTATTATTCAGGGTGCTTCACTACTGCCTTCCACTCTACATGTGGTACATACTGTAGTTAATCAGCAGTTCTTCAGATAAGGACCTAGGGGTTACTGTGGACAACAAGTTGAATATGATTAACACTGGGCCCTTGTTGCGAAGAAGGCTAACGGCATACTGTGCTGCATTAGAAGCATTGCCAGCAGATTGACGGAAGTGATTATTCACCCCTATTCAGCACTCGGGGGCCATATCTGGAGTACTGTGTCGTTTTTGGTCCCCACCCCCACTACAGAAAGGATGTGGACAAATTAGAGAGTACAGTGGAAGGCACTGAAAATGGTTAGGTGGCTGGGACACATGAGTTAGGAGGAGAGGCTCAGGGAACTGGGCTTATTTAGTATGAAGAAGAGAAGACTGAGAGGGGACTTAATAGCAGCCTTCAACTACCTGAGGGTGGTTACAAGGAGGATGGAGCTAGACTGTTCTCAGTGGTGGCAAATGACAGAATGAGAAGCAATGGTCTCAAGTTGCAGCAAGGGAAGTTTAGGTTGGATATTAGGAAAGTTTTCTCACTAGGAGGCTAGTAAAGCACTGGAACAGATTACCCAGAGAGGCTGTGGAATCTCCATCCTAAAGACTTTTAAGACCTAGGTAGTCAAAGCCCTGGATGGGATGATATAGTTAGAGATAGTCCTGCTTTGAGCAGGGGGTTGGTCTAGATGACCTCCTGGGGTCCCTCCCAACCCCAATTTTCTGTGATTTAAGACAGACTAAAGGAACTACATTTGCTTAATCAAAAAAATGAAGTAAATGAAAAGGAAAGGAAAAAAACAACCCACATTGATTAATTGTTCTTCATACACTGGGGGAAGAGCAAGAAATCAGGTTAATGTGTAAAAAAGACTGTCATGTCGCAGGAGCAGAAGGGACCCAACCCTATGGGACACCGGGTGATATCTGTTTTGCCCACTGAAGCAAAACAGCTGTACAAGGACACATCCCAGCACAGCTGACCTGCTTCATTTGGCGATGTCTGTGTATAACCTGTGTAACCTGTTCTTAAAACCTTCATAAAAAAAAAAACCCACCAGTCAGAAATACTCTAGGACAGTGTGGACTCAATCTACAGCCCATGGGCAAGATCTGATGCCCAAAGCAAATGGATCTAACTTACAGCACTGGGAGGGAGAAGGGGGAGAACTGGTAGGGAGCAGTGCAGCCCAGTATGTTCCCTGCCCTACCCTGCACCATGCTGCCGATCCCCTCTGCAGCCCTCCCTGCTCTCTCCCTCTCCCCTAACCTATTGCAGGTACTGTTTACTGAAGGTAAGCTCTTCTTCCCCCCCTTCCTACCTCTGACATTAACGATCACCTCCTTCCTCCTCTCCCTCCCCCACTGGACACTGGAGTGGAGTGGGGGCCCATGATGCAGCTGGACACCAAGCCTGTTGCTCTAAAATGCTGCACTCCACTGCTCTAGAATGGTATATGTGATTCTGCTTCAGTGCATGGTGTGGACTAAAAAAATTCTTCTTCCAGGCTGTGAAACTTTATAGTGTTCAGGTCCATATACAATGCTGGCTAAAGGGGGTAAAACAGTTTAACTTCTTTGTATAAACTGATAAAGCTGGAGACACAAATACAGTTATAAATGGGATGCCACTAACCTGGAAAAAATATGTTAGGAATTTCACAGTTTTTAGCTAGGTCAGATTATTTTACTGACAGCCAAGGACATAGCTAGCATGGCAAGAAGTCCCCAGAAATGAGAAGACCAAATGTTATGTTTGACTAATTCTGACAGATGAAACAGCCATCCATTTCTGGATACCACTTTGAGTGTTTTTTTGGCAACCAGCTTAGTGCAGGAAAGACAGAACGAGAAGGAATAAAGAAAGATGTCCGTTGCTTTCACCACCATGGTTATGTGGTGGGAACTACAAATCTACCATTCCCTGTTCAGTGTCCACTAGCCCCATCCAAAAAGATGTTCTACCCAAACTGGGCAAGAAAAAGGGGACCTGATGACATCACCACCTCCACAAAGTTGCACAATCCTGGGCAACACCTGAAAAACAAGAACCTAAGGTTTCTTCTGTTGTTCTGTTCCCATCACATTGTTTTTTTCCTTGCTCAAGGGTCCAGTCAATCCAAGATAAACCAACTTTTGCGACACTACAGGGAGCTTGTGGCCAAAAAGGATGATTGAAAACAGCATTTTAAATACTAGTAAGTCTTTCACATCTCAAAGCAACTAATAAACATGTACTCAGCAGACAGTTCTTGCAAACTGTTAAGATGCAAGTGAAAGACAGAAGCTGTGCCTTCCCTACTTTTGTCTTTCTGTGTGAGCATCTATGTTTGCCACAGTCAAAGAGCTTCCAGGTGAGATTGTCAGGAGCATCTGGGAGGAGTTAAGTGCCCAAAAGCCATTGGCAGCCAGTGGGAGTTCAGTGCCTAAATCCATTAGACGTTTGAAATCATACCTATTATTTATAAACTAATTTTAAAGACATTTAAGATATGAAAAAACAAAACAAGGAATTCTCTTTAAGGAGAAAGTTGATAGCTAAATTTAAGTGCTTAAACTGATATCTAATGAGAGGTTTAAATATATATTTTGAGTGGTTATATGGCACTGATTTAATTGCTCCTATAAAAGGGCAGTAACTGCAAGATAGCTAAAATTTAATAAAAGTCAAGACTACAAAGTAAGTATTACTGTTTTTAACAGTTAGCTTGATGCTAAATACTTCAAGCATGAATCACTTTTTTTCTGAGGGAGAATAGAGGAGGGGTGAAGAGGGAATATATCACCTTTCATCTAAGATGGATGAAATGGAAGAAGATAATTCTGTTCCAAACTGCAAGAATTAAAGGATATTCTTCAGCTTACAGAAGCAAAAATCACTTGGACTGAAACAGACTACTTACTAGTAAACTGAAAAAAGACCAGACCTGGGAAGTCAGTAGAAGCAAGTCCATGGATAGATTTAAAATAAAGGAAGGCACCTTTTATCATAGATTTAAAAAAAGCCCTCTGGTTTAACATCTTTGTGGACACTGAGGATAAGTGCCACACCCTAGTACTGAAGAGTGCAAGGCCAGCACCTTGGAGCAGAAGAGGGCTGACATCAACAGAAAGACAGCAATGACAACAGGAAGGAAGAAGCTTGTGTGGCATGATCAAAATAAGGCAACAGCACCAGTCCCAGTAAGCAGCAATGCATTTGCCACAAGGCCCTCAGACTCCCTTTTCCCTACAACACCCCAGGCTCACTTGAATACTATTTTTTTACCGCAGCACTTAGGAGACCATTGCCATGGGTCAAGACTCCATTGTGCAGGTGCTACACTGACACAGAAATTATGATGCCTGTAAATGTTGTGCTGGTACCACGGGTGCTATGGTCACTCCCTGGCATTTAGCCTTGTGGTTCTCTCTCACTCGCCTGCCACAACTTGATAGAAAAATAGATGCATTAAAAAAGAACCCCAATCTTCCCAATATGCCTCAGAGATGTGACCAGATTTTCTTCACAGGGCTCCTACCTCCCCTTCACCCTGTCCTGACCACACATGAGATAGCCTGTACTTTGGTGTCATTCCAGGTATTACTTCATTCTCTTCTTCCAACAGGTCTTGTAGTCACAAAGAGTTCCTCTGTCCTTTTCCTGTCCTGTTTCCCCAATCCCCAGTAGGATGGGATTCCCCTGCACTCCCCTGGGCTAGAGCTGTTCTCTTTACAGCCCTCTGTGCAAGCTGAGCATGTGTCAGCTGGCAGCATAAACTTGCTGGCTGGCCCTTTAAATCCTCAGGGTCCCAGCCTCTGCAGACTCCTTGCAGCACTGCCAGCTACCTGCTGCAGTGACTCTCTGCCCTCTCCTGGGCTGGGCTGTTCTCTTCACAGCCCTCCATACCACAGCTGGCATCCAACCCTTGCTGGCTGGCCCTTTAAATCCATAGGGTCACAGCC